CACACACACACACACACACACACGTTCGTGTGTGTGTATGTGTGTGTGTGTGTGTGTGTGAGAGAGAGAGAGAGAGTGTGTCGCAGGCTCTAAACTTCATACATTTTTGTCTTCCTTTTCATTTGTGATGGAAAACTCTTTCCTTCAGTCACGTACGTTTCCCCTGCCGCGTCGTAGCCGTGCCGCGTTTGCTTGTTATTTTAAAAGCTGCCTTCTCCTCACCGGGGGAGAGTCATATATCTTTCTCTCACCTCACATGTTTTTCAAATGAGTAGCTGCCAATTCTCTCTCCCTAAGTTGTTCAATCTCCCGTCCCGCAAGGACAAGACGAGCAAGAAACACCCCTCTTTCTTCGTAGATTGTGCGCGCACGTTGTCGAGCGCAACGGTCCGGCACCGCACCAGGGCAGCGCGCGGACCCTCCCGGCCGCGTCACGCAGGAATTGGTCTGAATACTTCGTCGCAAAGTATACATGGAGCTTCCACAAAGCCGCTCCGGCCGAGTGCGCCAGCCATATCTCTCGCGAGCCCCTACGACAGGATAGGGCCTACGCGAGGCACGACTTACCTCCACCTTACGGGAGCTGTGACCTCCCTTCGGTGGGCGTATCCCCGCCGAGCTACCAGTCCACAGTACGAAAGTTAATCAGTTGCAATCGCAGAGGTGGACCAACCGAGGGCATTTCTCGTTCGCTGTAGCATAGGGGGTACGCGCGGAAATACGCCTATCGGGCCCGCACGCGAACCCACATCTTGGGGGGGGGCTGAGGTCCCAAGCGCGGCTCGGCGTCGATCGACTAGGACGCGTCCCACACACCACGTGCACACCACTTTACGAACACAAAAATAAAACGCACGCACACACACATACAAAACGACACAACGCAAACAACGCGACAACGCTCCGAGCCCCTCGGTAGTCGTCCCATAACTTTCTGATGCGGAAATCGGATAGGCGTCGCGTGCGATACTTAGTATAAAACCGTGCTGACGCAGGGCTATCTCATATCGACTCGCAATGCAACCGTGCGCAAGCAGTCGCAATGATGGCGTACTATGTAGTACCCATACTCGCGCGGTCCTCGTTAATCTCGAGGGTCGCATCCGACACTCAAGTGTCGGCTGACACGCGCCTTGAGGGTTAATCTCTCGACGTCGGACAACCGCCATGCGCGGTTGAAGACCACACACCCTTTTCTGCACTCTGTGCACAGTGGGTGGTACACAGGTCCATACCTGTAGTGGCAGTTGCTTCATGCGGCCCTAAGGATGAGTCTTACTCCAGGCTTGGGCGAAAGTCAAGGGGTTTGACTTTGACGGCTGCCACGGACTACAACGTCCAACCATACAACTTTAAAAAGCAAAGGTAAAAATGAGAATCCCCCTTTTCTCTCAAGACATAACCTGGATAACCCTTATGCACAACCACAGTAGGGTCTCTCAAATACTCAAGGTATTCGTAAATATATAAGGGTTGATTATATAGGACGATCACTTCTCACAGTCACAGTGAGGCTCCTCTCAACCATATATGTATGTAATCGCAGACAATCACATCCAGAGTCCGAACCACAAACGCACCTGCAATCACATCAAGGATTCAACCAAAAGTCGAAGCACTACACGGGGTCAACTTCAACCATTCTCTATGCTCATACCCCTTGCTTTAGCCATACAAACCTCACTCTTGTGCAACTCCCCAAAATAAGTACTCAGTACTTTAGTTAAATGATCATTCAATAAAGTCCTGGTGAAAACACAATAAAACAGTTCAAACCACAGGGCTAAAACCTTTAGGTTGAGTGGCAAGAGTGGATTGGAGCTGAATCGCAAACCGACGGATCGGCAAACGACTTGTTATCAGTGATAACAGAAGGTGATCCTCAACGGATCAAGCTGAATCTAGTCCTGAACTTGAATCAAACGATCAAGAGGATCTGTAACACATGACAGGTCAATGCCCCATGCTAAAATCATAAGCGCATGGAGAATACAACTCCATAACACATTCTCACTCGAAATCTCCTTATAAGCTAGGGCTAGGTCTATCTCTAAGCCAGTGCTTAAGCAAAGGGAGACCAACTGCAGAATCTTCCCTATTCATGGTGAATCGTCAGAATCGCCATCTGTCAAAATATAATCTATCTCCTCTAAATTAAGAAAATTTCGGCACCGCTTCCCGTAGGAAAAGTGTTTTTCCATAATTTATACAAGTCCGGATATGAGAGCAGAAATAATCTCTAACTCTTGGAGAGTGAAATTCTATCTAACTCCCTGAATTAGTAAAAATTTGGAAAGCACTCCCTTTAGAAAGGAAGACTTCCCCGATTTATACTAAGTCATATATGAACTCAAAAGACAACTTGAGTTCAACTTAGACAAGATTTAACTAACTTCATAGTTTTGCATAAATTTCGGCAACGCTTCCTTTAGAAAAGTATTATTCCAAAATTTATACAAAGTCAAGTTCATAATTTGAGAA